GTGTGTGTGTTTGTATGGTCAGCTGGCTAGATGTCAGGAGTGACTTAAATGTTTATGCCTCATGTGATCCGAGGTATCTGGGAGTATCATGTGAGACGTTGTTTGCTTTCTTGTTCCTAATTTTAAACGCGAGCCTTTTCTGTGGTGGTTTGTCACTGAGTCTGGAAGCTACTTCGAAACATTCTCCTTGGAGATCTGCAGTTGGAGCTCAAAATTCATTTTCTGGAAACCTTGGTTTATTATGAAGGAAGGCTGATTTATAGAATCAAAAGGATTACAGTTATTTGAGGAAGTTATACCAGTAAAATGTTGTGATAGTTGATGTATATCTGAAGGCATTTGCATTTCAGATAGAAGTAGCAAAAAGTACCAATGGGTGGCTTCTTTGCCACACAAACAATAGCTTTTCCCCGCAGACCCTCCAGTTATGTAGGAATGATCTTTTCTTTTTTTCCCAATGAAATTTAAAGTTCCCCTATTCATGGCTCTTGTTGAATGCTCTTTTCTCTTTGTTTTCTGAGTGGTATTAAGGCAAATCACTTTGCAGGGTTCAATTTGCTTATTGTCTTCTGCTGGGAGCTGTGAGTCAGTCACTAAGGCTCAAGGACAGTGATAGGCAGAGTATGGGTGTATCCTGTACCTACTTACTGTAGTTCCCAGACCTGGAAGAGTCTGTAACCTCTTCTGAACTCTCAAATGGAACTTGTAAATGTGCTTCCTATGAAGTTTAATCAAACAAGAACATATTGAGAAGGAGTTCTACTAGTTTTGTCATGGCAGTTGAGACAAGACAAAACAAAACAAAACAACCCAGCAAAGGATCCTCTAATATTGGAAGTGAATTGGGCTCATCAGTGGATTGGAATGAGTTCTGTTGGGATTACCATCCTTGTGAAAAACGAGACTGTTAGAACTGATAGACCATCAAATCTCATGTTAACACTTTTTTCTGCTGAATATGAAATCTCATTGTATTTCCAAATGTTCAGAAGTCAATTCGTGTATTGCACAACTGCAGATTTGGGAAGCAAGGGTCCTGCTTGAGATCTCTTCCTGGACATCCCGTTTTAACAAGTGCTGATGTGTTTTGCAGAACTTCACTTGCCAGTTATTTTGTGCATTCACGAGGTCAGTCTGTGGGCTTTAAAAGTAAGAACTTTCTGTAATCTTTCCAGCAAAAAGACTTGGAAACTACAGATATTGGTAGACAAGAGGATGCAGGGGAACTTTTTTTGACAGATTACTGTACCCACCAATGCTTTCTGTGTATGGCCTGAAAGCAAAGGGAAATGTGGGTTTTTCTTCTACTGCTTTCAGATTCCATCACAGAAAATCCAGAAAGGTATGTCCTTATCCTGTGGGATTAATCTTCAGTGTGATTTTTTTTTTAACCTGTTACTTATCAAAAAGCCACTAAGTAGTTCTCCAGCCGAAATGTAAATGATTAACACTTGAGTTGTGTGGGGTAGGGACTGAAGATCTTGCGTGTTTCTTGCCATAATCTGAAAAACATCTAAATTTGCATTTTGTTCTCTATAGCTTCATCATGAACCCTCTTCAGCTTGCAGAATATCCTTTAGAAAATAAAACGTGAGTTGTGAATTAGTGATTAGCAGCTTCTCTGTTAATGTGAAAATGTAAACCTGAAAAAACAGAACTTCTTGTTAATTCCTGCTTTATAAACACAGGCATCTCACCTGTGATGAGTCTTTATTTTTTAACTGCAGTATTGTATCTTGGCATAGGTGGAACGTGCCCCTTATCTTTTGTTTAGAGTTACATAAAACGACCACTTCTGAACTTGTTCATTGTCATCCCTTGGGTAAAAATTAATATGTAATGTTTCTCATATTCTGTTCCGAATGGGACACAGGAGCACAGCCTCTGACCTCCAGAAGCTTGAGGATGAAATATCTGAACCAAATTAAACTTGCAGTTAATCGAAGATCACTCCATTAAGTCCAAGTCAGACTCTGTACCATTTCCTGTTTTCAATATTGCAGAGAAATGCATTTTGATTATAATCTTGACCTTCTTCAGTGTGAGTCTTCCTGCTCTGAGCAGAAGTGTGCCTGATTATTTGAGTGCTGTTTGGAAACCCCAGCAAGTTCTTAAAACTCCGATATCCCAGATGTTTGTCCAAGTTTTTTGAAAGGGAATCTTTGCTGGAAGAACTCGATTTTTACCCAAGGAAATGAGATTCCCAGGTAGAACAGAGCGTCACTCTTCTACTTGGTTTTGCATTGAAGCTGGAGACAAAATCAACCTGTTCTGTCCTTGGCAGCTCTGCTGCTGGAACTGGCCAGCCGTGAATGATTGATATAAATAGAATTACATTCTGTACCTTTTCTAACGAAGAGCACTGATACAGCATAGGCAGGAGACTGGACCAAGCTGTTGCCTTATAGTTCCATAAGCAATAACCCAACAGCATTCGGTGAGGTTACAAGACTGAACTCCAGTAAACTCTTTCCAGGGTGTGATGCAATGCTATCATCTCCCTTACTATGCTTTCCAGTATATCAGAGTCCTTGAAATAGGACCTAAAATCAACTGTGGTCAGCTACTGGGTCTTCTAACATTTCACTTAAGGCTGCAGAAATAATACCACTAAAAACCTAATAAGTAGGGGTAGTTAATAAAGAGATCCTGAGGTGCACCTTTTGTGGTGGGGCACCACCAGCAGTGGTTAAAGGTTTTATGAGTGTGATTGTCCAGGTCTATATTTAATCTGAACTTCTGTCCTCTTTCAGTTCTGCAATAAGTTTCTCTAAAAACCTGTCTGGCTTTGCAGCTAAATGAGGTTGTTCCCCTAAAAATATGATCTCTTCTTTAAACCATTGCTAAGTGTCAGTGTTTGATAGAACTGTCTTGGTTAAATAATATACTGAAGGGGGTGGGGAGCAAGTGAATGGGTAGACCTGCAGTAAAAAACCTCAAAATTAAATGTTGACAAGTAAGTAGGATACAGTTCTGCACGCATCAAAACGGTGGAGGGTTGTGGAGCTGAAAGGGGTGGAGGAGCCTTTAAGATGTGCCTAGCTCCTAAAGAGAGACTTTTCAGTTACTGAAGTACCTTTGACTTTCTGCTTCTTGAGGGAAAACATGATTAAATATAACAGAATGTAAGAAGTTTCTCTGGAAACTTGTTGCTGAAACCTGCCAGAGCATTTTTAAACCTTATTTCTAATTTAGAAATAATATTCCTGTCTCCATCCAGTGTTTAAAATAAATAAAGGAAAATAAAACTTCATCAAAGGAGTGCTGGCATTTAGTATATGCCTTAACAGTGCACTGCAGAGAAGGTGGAAAAAAAATAAAATAAAGCTGTTGTTGCATCCAAACCTGAACGTAAAAGATATGAAACTGTTTTTGGATTATTATGGTAGTCAACTAAATCTTGTGTAGCAAAAGTGCAGGCAGAGGTGAAGAGGTGAAAAGAAAAAACAGACATGGAGCTGCTTTCACTTTTCACAATTTTCTACCATCAAGTTGATAGTTTGCAGGCAACTACTTAAAAAGAACAGAAAGAGTTGTAATACTCGGAGGAAAAAGTTATTTCAGAGAGATTCAGTTTGCACTTTAAAACATAAGCGATCTTGATAATGTCTGAAAGCATCTGTTTTTATACCCATGGCCTAACACAACCTCTTCTGCATAGTCTGCTCCTTGAAGTGATGAACTGTTGATCCAGAGTTATGCTACGTGGTGGTTCCTCAGCTGATGTCTTGAAAATCCAAATATTTGCAGTGCAATAATGCGCATGGAGAACTCTGTTCTGATGTAATATCTTTTTATCCAGTTACAAAACTTAATGGTATCTCTGGATGCAGTGATGCTGCATATGAGGGCTACACTATTAAGATGTGTATATGTAAAATGTTACACACTTTAATTCTGTCTCCTTTTTATGCCTTTCAGTTCCAGGGGACTTGGGTAACCAGTTGGAAGCAAAGTTAGATAAGCCATCAGTAGTGCACTATCTCTGCTCTAAGAAGACAGACAGCTATTTCACGCTCTGGCTGAATTTAGAATTGCTTCTGCCTGTCATAATTGACTGCTGGATTGATAACATCAGGTAAGACCAGAAATGCTGCTCTGCGCTGTTATCTCCATTGCTCAGAGTGATGTGCTTTGGACAGAACAGCTGCCTTACGCTTCCTTATCTGATTCAAGACCAGGGAGAGAAATGACTTGACTTCTGGTAGGTAGAGGAACAGGATGGATCAGGAGTTGTGGCTCTTACACCTGAGGTAGCCATTCCTCACTCAGGTTCTCTGCTTCATCCACTTTCTCTCCTACCAGTTACTCAGTGTTGGTTTGGGGCACTTATCGGACCCTTCTGTAGGCTTATGTGAAGCAGAACATTTTCTGCCCCTTTCGATAAGTTACTTCAGTTTTGATGAGGCAAGGGGGAAGGAGGTACATCGGGCAGCTCAGAGGGATGTGAGCTTGCACTTTTGCTGACGGTGTCATTAGAGAGCAGTCCACCAGCAGCTGAGACACATGGGGTCCTTCAAGGGCACTCTGGAAGTCTCTTTCCAGAATTATTTTGGCTTACAACATGGCCTAATTAAAGCTTCCAGACTATGTCATCATTCGGTCTGCTTCATTAATGTTCCTGTAAAAATCACATCAATGTCGCTGTGAAAACAAGAAATAATTAGCTTGTGAAATGTGGAAACATTGTTTTGGCATGATGCTCTTTTCTGTGAGTATACCAGGTTGTTGTGTAGTTGTACCTCAGAGGTTAGAGAGACTTTCAGCGTGTGAAGATTTGAGTATCAATTCAGATTCTAAGACTCCATTTAGGGGTAAAAACTTTCATTCAGAAATGAGAATTGTATTGATGCGGCATTAACAACAAACCAACCTCCCAAAACAACAGTAATAATAATGAAGGAAAAACCTGACCCGGTGCTCCAGATTATTCATATCTCAAATAGATTTGAAAAATATCTACAAAGCACTCAGTGTCTCAATGTGTTTCCTCAGGTACCAATTCCTTAGTCAATAAACATCAAGTCCCTTATACCATATCCAAGTCCCTTATATCATCGAGTCCCTGGTATCAATGTTTTAGTTAAATAGAAATGAATTATTTTTATCTAGGAGAATTTTTCTGATACCAGATTTTAACAGTATCTTATCTTCTACTGCCACGTTTTCACATTCTTGGCAAGTGTCCTCCATTATGTGGCTTGATGCAAAGTGAAATGGTCTAGAACTAAATAAAGTTTATATTCTAAAGCTGAAGTTGAGCCACCACTCTGTATGCTCAGCTTTACAGAGAAGATGTCTCAGATTCTGCATGTAAAGCATTAAATTAATTAAAGAATTGCTTGCCCTGTGCAGCCTCTTAGCCATTAGAGTACTCTCCTTATGTCTGCTTGTTTGATGGGGTTTTCTTTTTAATTCTGGGTAACAGCACTTCAGGTTCTTATTCCTGCACTCAGAATGTCAGATCCAGTGTAGCCGAGAGTTGTCGTGTAGTCATACAGCAGGCTTTGTGGTTTTTATTTTCCCCCAGGCTGGTGTATAATCGCACAAGGAAGATTACAGAACCACCGGATGGAGTGGATATCAGAGTCCCGGGTTTTGGGCAGACGTTTTCCTTGGAATTCCTTGACCCAAGTAAAAGGAGCGTTGGTACGTACGAGCTGTGTCTGAAGTGATTTGTCACTTGTAGGACTTTTCTAGTGTCTTTATAAAAGCCACTGAAATGTGATTTAAAATTACAGATCTGTTTGGAATTAGATTTGTTTTTTTGAAGACAGATACTTCTGGAAAATGAGATGGGTTGAGTAGAAAACTCTGACTGAAGCTTGACAAGCTGAAACAAAATAAAGCCATTTCATCTTAGTTCTAAGATGTTCTTTGGCTTTAGGGGGGAGTTAATGGGCTCGAGGGATACCGTACCACACTCTGTAGTTCCCTGCCCTTCGTCAGTGTCAGAACAATGATAGAATTATATTTGTGCTGCAAAAGATTTCTGCATTAATGAGTTTGCAGGGTTTTTTCACTTGGTGTTTTTGTAGAAGTTATCCTTCAGAAAACACTGCATCTGATAAGGTCTTGTGAGGAGTCGTTAGCTCTGGCTGAAGACTCAACTAATTCAATATTCAGTAATGCACTGAGCTTGATATGCTTCATGGCATAGATTTCTTTTTCTTTTCTGTAGGGAGCAATCCCACAAGGGCAGTAATGTGCTTAATGATCTTCACTAGATGACTCCTATAACTGGAACAGGGCCATATTTAAGATTGCCTGTGTTCACTTCAGGGACTACATGATAAGCACTCGAGACTTACAAACGAGGTTCTGCTCAAAACTTAAATATGACTCTGATACCGAATGGAATCTTTTGAAACTTAATTTTTCAAACTCTTGCCATATGCATTAAACTGTGGTGATACTTACATCCTAGGTAATATGTAACATCTTTCAATGTGTAGCCCGTCTGCAAGTGTTTTGCTGCCACACTTGTTTGATAGATCAGCCAGCTAGTAAGAAGTGTTAGTAGTGGTATTCTCTCACTCTGGGGAACATCGAGCATAACTCGTTTTGTTTAATATGCAGCTTTCTAGATTGTCAGAGATTGAGACTGCAGCTTTGATGTCTGTGTACGTGGTATTGGAGATAATGCCTCCAGAACTTATTTTGGTTTGCGATAGTGTCTGATGGCTGCTTCCAATGCTGATCTCTTCACGGTTGTGTTTCTCTCTTATCTGATGCTACAGGCAGTTACTTTTACATGCTGGTGCAGAGTTTAGTAGACTGGGGCTACAAACGCGATGAAGATGTAAGAGGAGCACCTTATGACTGGCGAAAGGCACCAAGTAAATAACATACTATTACTTGAACAACACTTTGACTCTCCCTGCCAGCAAATAATGTTTTGGGTCCCTTCTTCTATCCCACCTGTACAGTTACACTGAAAACATTAATTTTGACTAGTTCTTTGGGCCTGGCCCAGATGAAAACTCTGTGGTGTGGTTTCTTTTTTTGCTTTAAACAACTTGCTGCCTAAAACCAAAACGACAACAAAAAAGTCACGCTACCAAAATGCATCTCCACAAAATCACCCATCCCTCCCACTTAGTACTGGAGTTTCTAAGCTCTGCGTTATTAATTCCACAGACAGTTTCAGAAAACCTTTTAAAGGATTGTGTTGAAGTTCAGCGTTCACAAATAACTGTGTAACCTGTTTATGTTTACATCAGATGAGAATGGAGAGTATTTTGTAGCCCTTCGCAAGATGATCGAGTCGATGTACGAGCAGTATGGAAGTCCTGTTGTCCTGATTGCCCACAGCATGGGTAATATGTACACCCTCTACTTCCTCAACAATCAGCCTCAGGATTGGAAAGACAAGTACATCAAGGATTATGTGTCACTGGGTGCTCCGTGGGGAGGAGTGGCTAAAACTCTGCGTGTGCTGGCTTCAGGTGGGTAATTGGGGTCTTGCAGTGTATTTTGTCAGTAGTGCAAGGTACAACCTAGACTGGCAACTGTAAGACAGGTTGTGAGCTTAAGGTACTAGAAGTTAAAAATAATTTTTTCTAAGTGGTGACAACTCGACGTTTCAAGCCTTGTGACCACAATGTCATTCTTTATGTTCATGAGTGGACTGTTTTTTATATCCCAAAACCAGAAGCTGTGTCCCCTCTTGACCTCTCCTAACCTCTCTTCAGCAGATTGTGTCATCTGCTGTTTGGCCTGGTGTCTTCTATTTCTGTCACTTCTGCCTCTGGCCCAATTGCTCTCCTTTCAGTATTGCAAAGCTCACAGGGACTCCGGAGCATTCAGAAGTTTCCTTTGATTAAAGATCACACTGCTGCTTGAGGTTAACTTTAAGAGAAACTTGTGGGCTCTGCTTTACCACCTTGTCTACAGCACAGATGCCTGTTGAAAGCTGTAACTCTGCAGAGAAGGAAAGTGAATCTTTGAGACCTTTGAGACCATACTGGAGATATGCCTGAGACTTAAATAATTGAATAAAGCAGCATAATGTATTTCACACAGGGACTGCAAATGACTTATGGAAAAAGTTCACTTACTCCATCATGTGGTACCATAATTATTTCATGTGCTTTGGCATTTAGTTCATGATGTTTCTGGCTAGGTTCTTTTAGCTTGTTTCTAACCTGTTAGCTTTGGATATTACTACTTTCTAAACAAAGCTGACATCAGAAACTGGACTTCATCAAAATGCAGAGCACATAGCAAGTGCCAGCCATGCATGGACAGATCAAAGAATACTTTGCTTAGCAAAGGCATTTGATTCTGAATAGGAGTGCACAGCTCAGTTACTAATTAGAAAACTTAAACTGGATGTTTGTATTGAGTTACACGCTGTTAAATCTATTGCAATGACAGTGTAAAAATTGATTCCCTTTTCCCACAGGCTTTGACAAGTTTCTATGCTACACAAATAGCAGGAAGTGAGCAATTTAATATGACCTTTATAAAATTCCCTAGTCCCAGATTTCTGTTGGATTAAACTTTGGTCCTTCACATCCTGTTTATCCTTTCTAATGCATCTCATCCAAAGTGGCTAACTATACAAATGCATAATGAATAGTTAAATTTCAACTAAAGTGCAGTCATCTTTTAAACTGCATGTCTGTTGTACTAAAGTCTGTATTTTAGAGCAAAAATTTAAGACTCGTGTAGGAAAGTTAAACGGGTGGAACATAACATCAGAACGCATGTTGTTTTTAGACTAGCTCTGACTCCAGTGGCAGTAGTAAGTCACCACCATCAGGCATTAACGCTTGGCTTGGTCTATTAAGAGTTTTGAAGACTGACACTATCAGAGTCTTAGTGTGCAGAAGAATTGTTGAAGAAAAACACTGCACTGCTGCAGGGAAGACAAGGCAAGCCATGAATGAGTTCTTTCTGCTCCCATTCCTGTTTATAATACAGTAATGGCTAGGGACTTCGTGTCAAATCCACAGTTGTGTTAGCAAAGTGGTACACAGGTGGGATTATTTTCTTTAGATTTTTCTGGAATACTTCCTACACCTTATGTGCTTTGCAGGATCAGTCTTTATATTATTACAACTCCAGTGCCAATAAAGTGAGGATGTTCTTCCCACTACAGCAAGCAAAGACACACAAGTTCACTGTGGTGGTCTGGGTTTTTTCTTTATTGCTTTTTGTCAGCTTTTGCTGCTGGCAGTGTCTTCCTTAGAGTTAATATTTTGTTCACTATAAACAAAATATAGTGGCTGCTGAGTGAGGGTGGTCTTGGCCACCATACAGTACTTGTGCATTTCAGAGAAAAGTCAAGGATGTGATAAGCTTTTCATAACAGTTCTGTAAGAGAAGGCTGGAATAGAGTTGGGTTCTGTGTTTGGTTATTCTACTGGAAATAAGTATTTCACACGTTCCTTTCATTGTTCAATTCAGATCTCAGGCTTTCTCTGCTGAAAGCCACCAAGCAGTATTCAGTAGCTTTGTGGTGAGCATGCACAGTTCAGTATTGGTACCACACAGGAATATGAAACAAAGTTTTCTCGGGACCCTTGATTCTTGCTGTGATTTCTTTGAGTTTCTTCTTTATCAGTTTCAGTTATACTAGCAGTGTCTCCATATAGTCCTGAAGATGGCATTAAAGACTCTGCTTTAAGTCTCCTTGCTGAAGCAATAGTGCCACCTGATGGAATTAAAAAATATACTTGGTGTTATTTCAGGAATAGGCATTTTGATTTTGATATTCCAGTCTTTATGGTGTGGTTGACCTGGGTCAGCATGCTGGAAACCACCTGGACCGAACAATGGAAAATCTGGTTCAGCTGCCAAAAGAACTGGCAATGGAAAATAGGACGGGTGTCTGATCAGAAGGTCACCATGAGACTAAACTTGGATCTGACTCGGCAGTAGTGGTAGTAAACACTGTACCTGCCATTTCTTAAGCAGCTTTTAATTTTGTGAATGTAACAAAATGGTTAAACTACGAAGAAAGATGCATGTAAATTATAACTTAGCTGTGTGTATTTGAGCCATCTTTTGAACAAACTGCTAAGAAAACAACGGACTTGATGTCTACAAGAAATTATTGAATTGTCCTGGTCAAACACTAGTTCTGTAATAAGAGTAAGTCTAAATATGGTAAAGTGTAACAATTTTGTGGTTTATTTTGTATTGGATGACTTAAGATATTTATTGATGATAAGCTCTAGATATCCAGATTTATACTGTATTAAGAAAATATAATGCCTTGGAAAAGCTTGGCCAGCTAGAAACTTTTCCCAAGTGTAGTAGTTCCTAACTGGTCTTTCAAGAATTACTGGTTTTGTCTACCTGACCCCCACCACCCCCCGGCAAAGATGTAGTTTAGGTTACCAGAATTGCTAGAAAATATTAGTGCTGCATTAGAGAAAACCAGTGTTGTGAGCACTGCTCTTTTATCAGTCTTGAAATGCTGACTGGAAGCGAAGATGCTACAGTAAATAAACCATACAGTAACTCTTATAGCTATCCTGAATGAAATTCTGCTACTCTGCTTGTTTTAAATCTGCAAACAAAGCCTATCAAGTCTCTTAATGAATTCTTAAATGTGTGTAAGGGCAGTAGTATTTATCTGTTTGTTTAGCAAAAACACCATCTCGATACCAGAATCACTCTAAAACACGTTACCAGAAGAGCATTTAGGTCAGAACTTGCAAATCGGACAAATGTCCTAGACAAATAAACTGATTTTTTACTTGGCTAATATATAAAGAAGGACAGGAACTGCTGGAGAGAGTCCAGCGTAGGGCTACAAAAATGATCAAGGGAGTGGAGCATCTCCCTTCTGAGGAGCGGCTGAGGGAGCTGGGGCTCTTTAGTTTGCAGAAGAGGAGACTGAGGGGAGACCTCATTCATGGTTATAAATATTTAAAGGGTGAGTGTCACGAGGATGGAGCCAGGCTCTTCTCGGTGACAAACAATGATAGTACAAGGGGTAACGGACACAAACTGGAACACAGGAGGTTCCACTTCAATTGGAGAAGAAACTTCTTCTCAGTGAGGGTGACAGAGCCCTGGCCCAGGCTGCCCAGAGAGGTTGTGGAGTCTCCTTCTCTGCAGACATTCAAAACCCACCTGGACGCCTTCCTGTGCAACCTCATCTGGGTGTTCCTGCTCCGGCAGGGGGATTGGACTGGATGAGCTTTGGAGGTCCCTTCCAATCCCTAACGGTCTGGGATTCTGTAATATAGGAAGTATTTTCCCATTTAAAAGGAGATATTGTAATATGATTAGAAAAGGAGCAGTGTTCGTGCTTTGTCATTCATTCATCAACCTGTATTTAAATTTGTAAGTTACTAGAAGTTAGTTTGCTGATGTTGATTATCAAGGCAAACATAAATGAGGAAAAACTTCTCAAACTGTCACTGGAAGCAAAGGGAATAATCTGCATTCATTTTATCACTGAGTGGAAGTAATTGTCACTGGCTGCGATTCATGCGTTGCTTTGTGTATAAGGACATCCTACCTTTTGTTTTTGAAGGTGACAACAACAGGATACCTGTTATCAGCTCTCTCAAGATCAGAGACCAGCAGAGATCAGCGGTTTCCACAAACTGGATGCTCCCCTACAACTACACCTGGCCTCAAGATAAGGTCTTTGTGAGCACACCCACAGCTAACTACACTCTTCGGGACTACCAAAAATTCTACAGGGACATCGATTTTGAAGATGGTTGGCTCATGAGGCAAGACACTGAACCCCTGGTCTACCAGATGACACCACCTGGTGTGCGGATACACTGTCTTTATGGTACTGGTGTGGAAACGCCCGATTCCTTCCACTACGAAAGCTTTCCTGACAAAGAACCCAAGATTATTTACAGCGACGGGGACGGAACAGTAAACCTGCAGAGTGCCTTGCAATGTCAGAAGTGGGTGGACAGGCAAAAACAGGAAGTGGTGATATTTGAGCTTTCAGGAAATGAGCATATTCAAATGCTATCCAATGATACTACTATCTCCTATGTGAAAAAGCTGCTCTTTGATTTGTGATACCTTGTGTTGACGGTTATTTTCCTCACCTGTGATGCCTTCCCTTAAATATGGGAAAATGCCTTTTAATCCCTTGATATTTAGATATTTGAATTATTTATTTTGTGGGTGGGTTGGTTTGTTGTTTTTTTTAAGGCTGTGTTCAAGAAGTTTGGTGTCCTGACTGATCGTTTGTCTCCGATTTTGTGTTTATGATGCTTCATGGTATTTCCACATTCTGCAGATTTGGTCAGATATGCGTTTTGGTGCCTCTGGTGTTGTGTCCAATACTCATACAGACTCATTTGGAGACTGTGCAGCCCCTTGCACATACTACATAGAATCACGGATACCCAAGTTCCCTTGCGTGGTCTTTGCAGGGTTTGGAGTGCAGGGCTAGGAAGGATTGCGATTTCAGATGCCCATAAAACAAGGCAATGATGTTAACAAATTGGGAAGCGCAGTAAACTTTATTTAAAGGGTCTTGCATATCTTGATCTATAGTTCCCATACCTTAGTTTGTAAATGTGCATATCTAGTAGCTGAAGTAGGGAAGACGTCTGCCTGGTACTGTACACTTGTGTCAGAATCCAGCCTTTCTTTTATTACTGCTTTTTGAGGGAGGAAAATATAGATGTGTGAATTACTTGGAGCTTCTTATTAGGAAAGATTAGAAGAAGAAACTGTTTGCTCATCAACTTGTAGAACCTGATTACTTATGGTCTGGAGTTTGAGGAATTCTCGCCTCCTGCTTTATTTATGAGTGAGGGAAAAGCTAAACAGTGGCTGGTGCTTGCAATAACCATAGCTCTGTGGAGTAGCACATCAATCAGAGCTAATTGAACTGAATACTGACAGACCGTCTGTACGGTGCAGAACTGCATTTCTGGGTGAAAAACTATTTCCTGTGGTGGAAATGATAATGGATGGTGGGCATTAACTACAAGTGAATTTCCTGAAATGGGGTGGGGAATGGAAGCCAGCATTATACAGTGTGAAGTATAAAGCTTGTTCTCAGCCAAATACTTCGGCTCTGATCCAGTTACTGACCGAGCAGCTGAAAAGAAACTTCACGTTTTTCAGCCTAAAACTAAGTTCCCCTAGATCACAAGTTTCATTTATTGGTGTTTTGAGAAGTTGAGGTACACTGTTCCTTAAATGTTTATATAAATTGCTGAACATGCAACTCGGTTAACTTCCTGCAGTATTGTTTTACTCAATGTTTAAAAACAAATTCAACTCTGGACTCCAGAGAAATGACAGCCTAAAGGCCATCGTATCTACAACCTTGATGACAGAAGTCCTGTTGAAGTCTTTCACTCAAAGATTCGTTTGCCTGCTTTAAAACCAGTCACCCAGTTAGACTGCACTTAGTTTTCTGAAAACACAACTTTGAATGCTTTCAAAATGCTAGGTCCTCCAAGAAAAATCTCTTAAGAGTTTCAGAAATTCATCAGAATTCTTGAGGATTCATTACTTAAACTGAAGTTGTCTAAAGGGAAAAGCTCTTCACTATTTTGGTAGCGTACGTAAAATGTTTGCTGCCGTTAAGCATTAGTAAGATGTGTTGAAATGACGGGCTTGAACTCTTGTTACTGTGGAATGCAAACGTTTTGGCACAGGAGGTAAGCTTAGAGCTTTAAGTTTTAATTCAGAAATTACTTGTAGATCCAGAACAACTTGAACTAGGGCTATGGGTAAGCTAAATATCTCCCTAGGTTTTAAATTTCTTATGTAGCTTCACTTTCATCCTGCATTTTCCCTGTTATTTCTGTGGAGGGAGAGGATGCATTTTTCCTGACTTGTAAAGTGGAACATTTTATCTTGTCATCAGTTGCCCAGGAACCCACAGTTCAGCAGCAATATTGCCTAGACTTTTCCAGAGTAGATACTGAGCTGCCCCAAGCCATTTGGTAACTGTCAATTTTAAAAACCCCAAAACAAGAAACAAAGGGGGAAAAAAAAACCACCCCAACACCCAAACCCCCAGAAAACAACAAAAATCCTCTAGCCAAGAGTTCTGTTGTCTGCAGGGCTATCAGCTGGATAAGCTTCAGGCTTGTGTTCCAAGACTGCTCAAAGATGGTGAAGCTCTTCCTGTGGTCTGACTCAATTTATAAATAAATTATGTTACTGGCTTACAACAGAGAAATTACAGCCTATCACAATGTGGATGTCTTGCTGAGATAGAATGCCTGTTTTAAAAAGCACTGGAATGAGTGGAGCTGGAGGCTGCATTGCAGGCTACCAACACTGGCATCAAGGGCTGAAAAAAATGAGAAAAGAACATAGGAAAACCGTTTTTAACCTGATCTGGAGAATGTTTCTAAGCTTGATTTAGATCCTTATTAAACCAGTGGCATTTTCAGTCTCATACCAAGAATTTTAGCTTCGGGGTTTTTTGTGATTTGAAGTTCTGAAATGTGATTCCAAAAGATGCTTTCTTTTTTCTTCTTTTTTTCCTTTTACTGTTTTTTTTACTGCTCCTTTTTGTGCCCCAAAAGAAAACAAAAAAATCTTTTCCAATTTTGACAACCTAGTACTGATTCTGAGATCACTTGGCTGTCTTTTAACCTAAAGCTTTGCAAATTGGCTTTTTATTAGTAGACAAGCCCTAGAGAGCGTCTATTGAAAGAAACTTGCGTTAACCTGGTAAAAAGAAGCTGAAAGTCTTTTCAAGGCTTTGTTTTGGTTTTGGTTTATGTTGGTTGTGACTCTAAAGCCTTGTTGTGCAAGGATGTGCGTACCTGAGTTAGAGGACGCACGGTGCTTCTGGGGTGACTTGGGATGGGATGGCTCTGCAGACTGTAGTTCTGGTTTATGTCCAGAACTTGCAAATTTTGTACCAAATCATCTTCAGCCCTTTCCTTTTCAGTTTCTTGCACGTTAGGATGGAGTTCTGATTGACAACTGAATGCAGCAAGTACACCATGTCATTCCAGTCGCTGAAACTGAACCACTTCACTCATTGAAGTGCTCACTACGGCATGTTCCTCTGCAAGGCAAGAGTATTTAGCATTGCTGTTCCAGGCCTGCTAGAGCCACGTGCACTTGAGCATCGTAGATTCTGTGGAGAGAGAGGTGAGAACAAATAAATCTTTAGGGAGAGGGGGATGTGGCATTTCCTTAAGAGGAGTAACTCAGGTGCTCTGCCACGCTGCACAGTTGGACTGTTTGCATTTACTGACATATCTTCGTTGTACCTAACACATACGGATCACATCTCTCTCTTTCCATAATTTTTACTTGGTTTCATTTTTCCAGGATATTTTCAGAAACCAAAAACAGTCTCGAGGACCAAATGTGTTTCTTATTTCTGAAAAAATGTATAGAAAATGCTGAGGCGTTCAGCTGTCATTGTGTTACTTCTGAAGAGGTTCAGAGTCACTGTGTGATTCTGCTTAAAACCAGGCGGCTTTGATAACTAGCAATAATTGCAAAGGACTTGCAGACCAAAGGAAGGAATGTTTGGTATTAGGGTAGTTCTTGGAGCACAGTGTGTTCAAGGCCCTCTTAAATTCAGGGAATGTTTGGCAATGACTTTGCTGCTCTACACTTACCAGTATTTTGTATGGAACATATTCTGAGACCTAGCATTTTATATGCTCTTTTTTTGTGTATGAATGTGTTCAAGATATTTTGAATATTTTATTGTCAAACTTTGATAACATAATAAAGTTGATCTAATACAGCTTGTCTCCTGTTGTGAATAACGTAGCTCTTCTCTGTGCCCTAGATCCCTGTTCGTTGGACATCTTGTCCCAGTACGATTCTTGTTCATGCCTTCCTCAAGGCTCACTGACCCCATACCATTGCAGGAGAAAGGGGAATGTGGCCTCCTCCAGCTCTCTATTAAAATAGGAAGAGTCCTGCACTAAAGTGCTGTGCCACTTTTTGGCAGAAGCTTGGAAGGCTGAGAGCATAGGGAAGGGGGGGACAGGATGATACCAGGGCCTGGCTACAGCAGTGTCAGCCCTGTGCAACACTGGTGTCCTGTGTCATGTGAGAATATTGATGTAATGCTGGTGCTAGCTTGGGTTGTGCGTCTTTTAAATAATTATAGCATGGATTGTGACTCTGATTTATTAAATCTATATTAAAAATGCAGTAGAGGGCAGTAGTGTATAAGTTACAGAAGACTTTTTTTTTTGGTCATGTTAAATGGCATCTGTGTATATTTCACCTGAGAAAACCAGGATTATAGGGAAAAGAAAACTGGGTATCCACAAAGTGGTTCCTGTCCTGAAGCAACTGTCAATATGCAGATTCTGTTTTTGGAGGACCAAGGTAATGATTGTTGTATCTGACATTAAACAGCAGGAGTTCAGCTTGATGCAAACTCAGAGCAGAAGAATCTGAGACATGAATCATATATATCCACTCCTCTCTGCACGTTCAGATTAAAGCACAAATTGGACATTGCTGTCAGAAGCCTGAGTGTTAAACATAGTGGCTGTGCACCAGCAATGGAGGATGTGTCTATGCTGTTGAATGTCACAGGTCTGTAGCCTGTCCTTCAGACACGTCCTCTGTGGATGTGTCAATATACTCAGTGTACAGCACTGTGATGCATTTTTAGAAGTGCTGCAAATGCTGCTGGATTTGTATTCTTACTGCACTGCTCAGCGAAGGACAAGTCTTGCACCTTAAATTTTCACTTTGTGTGTAACCACTGACACACAGTAACATTCCTGGGAAAGCAGAATTATTGATCAAGCTTCAATTGCATGTATAACTAAAAATGTCACCTTATGTGAGTAAAGTGTAAGTACCCACAGAGTCATCAACCCAGATGGTAAATTCAGCTGCATGAAAATAATGTGCCTACAGGGTAAGTATTTTTATCACCATTATTATTTTTGAAACTAGGTAGTCAAAGAGGGATTCTGTAATAGTACAGATCTAAGCAGTTTGATGAAGATGAGCCAGGTTATCTAAGCTGTGCTACAGATTCTTTGTACCTGTATAAAAAAGGCTAGATAGAATATAGGAAACCTCACCAAATACTTTAATCTGCTCTGGTCATGATAGTTTAAGATGACAGTGAAATTTGAAAACAGATCTGAGAGACACAGCTAACAAGGGGCAGTAACAAGGGCTCCTTGCCTATCCACATACC